GGGGGGGGGGGCTCGCCTTGTTTGCTTGTAGCCTCGCCCTCGCAGCGTGGGACGTTCCGTCAGAGGCCGGGGGGGAGGCACCTCCGACACCATGTTGTTTGTTTCCCCCCCGGAGCACAAGTCTATCTCCGAGGCCGTTGCGAGTGACGCCGACACGGACACGGCGTCGCTGTGCCAGCGCATCCCATCCGCAGACAAAAAGAAATGGATAAATAGACACAGAGGCGCCCGGGAAGGTAGAGGGTACACAGGGGGGAGGGGGGGGGGGTATTAGACAGCGTTAGAGCATCCGGTTGCAGCTAGCCTCCTAATTAGCAACGCGATACGGCGTCCACAATACGTTGGTGGTGCTCTCGGCGGTGTCCCGGGCAGCGCGCAGTGCTCGGGGCCGCTGCGGTCCGAGCACTAACTTGTTGCTCTGACTGTCAGCGTCGCGAAACTCCCCGTGTCCGGCACCGTGGCGACGAAAGTGCAGTCAGCAGTCTACACGGTCAGAAAATAAAAATGCATGGCACGCACTCATAAATTTTCGACAGTGTGTACCACTTGCCGGTGTGGCTTGTTTAGCTCGCGACCCTCGCGACATAACAAACAACGCGGAAACAAATTCCAGCGGGGCTTCTCATTCTCGGAAACGGGCTATAGTAGTGAGAGTGGCTCTGGGCGCCAGGGGCGGCGTGTAGAGAGGGTGGCGGGGGCGGGCGCGCGCCGAGCCGCTCAACAAGTCTGCGTGAGCCCGGAGGAGACGCGTGTTTCGATGCCTTCTCACGGTTCCTTTCCGCGCCCCTTGTGCCCCCCCCCCCTTAACATCTCCTCCTCCTCCGCCCGACAAGCGGCGGAATAATGTCGCTCTCTCGACGCCGATGTTGACCGACCTGGCCTGGCCTGCAGCGCCAGCGCGAGCGCCCCCAGCAGCGCAGGCAGGGGCCTCATTCCTCTTGCCTTTGTCGCCCCCGCCCCTGAACTGCCTCTTATATACCTTTTGGAGTGGTTTGCAAACTGAAACGAATTATACACCCAGGCGCTTCCCGTGTAGCAATGTTGTTAGAGGGGCTGTGGTAGGGGCGTGGGAGGAGGTATGGGGGCGATAGCGTGGAACAAAAACGCACGCTCGCCAAAAATAATATCCAGAAAAAACGACGGTGAGAGTAGAGCCCATACCTCGCCTTATCGGACACCCTGTAAAGCTGAAGTGAAATATGCGGAAATATGTTTCGCAAGTATCAAAATTTCATTACCTCAGCCAACTTGCATTTTGTCCATTTTATCACTTCCTTTTTTAGACAATAGAAAAAAAAACATAATCCAAATTAAGAGAACTCTAATTATTGATTTTATTTCATGCAAATTAATTTCAATTTACAATAATAATTATTACTCATGAAGTAATCGGTTCTCTGGGTTGCTGAAATTTTTGCTGCGTCAATATAAAGAAAAATAAATTGTGAGACGAAAAAAGTTCTCACGAAGAAAAGGAGTACTTGTCTCTTCTTTTCTTCCCTTTATTGGGGGTGGACTTGTCCTAGCCATCTGCCGACCGATGTTAACTTGACCCGCAGCAACTCACCCCATAAACGGCGCCCTTTTCAATCTGTCAATGGAGATAACACAAGTGCCAAAGTTTTACGAGACGAGGAGCGACGCGAAAAGGGCGGG